CCTCACACATGTATTATAGATGTCTCTGTTTCCTCACTCAATTATGTTTTTGTTCACTCATCTGTGTTGTGGGTCGTGGTAGTGGTACTTGCTGATTCATATGCTTCTTTCTCTTACACTATCAGTAATTTTCTTATACTGATGATGTTTTGCACTAGGGGAAGTTCCTGTCAGATTGGTTTTGAGTGAGATAGTTAAGTTCCCGGATCTGTCAAACAATTTATCACATTGCTATCATTTGTCCCATTTAAAGACTGGTGGGGGTGGGGGGTAAAAAATTCCCTCTGGTCTGCTGAACTTGAGGTGAAGATATTATGATCCTCTTTCCTACCCCCACCAGATGGCTGGGTTTTGGATTGTAGTTGACTTGCCGTGTATGGTCCATTGCACCCTAGCCACTCTACACCTAAGGGCACAACCTTTTACTTTCACCCACATGCCAGTACTCTGTAGGATTGACATTTGTTATATGGTGGTTTGGATCCCTGTTGTACCATTGTTCTCTCCTGTAGGGAATGTGCTCCTTCCTTTTTTCCACGCATGTCTGTGACACCTCATTCCACACTGGGTGAAGAGTATACCTGGTACAAATGTGATGCGGTCTCCTGTGTATGATCCTATGCTCTGAGGATCTATTCTTTTAGGATGTTCTTTGGATGCATTTGAGGATGCTTCTTTGTTTTTCCCTCGCATCAGTCCCTCCACCTCTTCAGTGTGAGATTCTAGCTATTTATGTGAGCGGAGGTAATGTACCCTATTGGAAGTTATAATTTTCCTATACTGAAAATATATTTCCGATAGGTACTTACCACGCTCACACTTCCCACCCTTCCTCCCCACTGAAAATTGGTGCTTCCATTTTCTGCCAAAACTCGAAGTGATATTTTGATGTAATTGAAAAGAGGGAGTCATATGCATCAGGAGAGTGTTACACTCTTATTGGTGAAGGGTTGTCACATGATGATTTACATGTGAGACACATTTTGAGCAGTTGATTGTAGAGTATGTGGGAGCTTAAGTGTTGTGGCATGTGAAAAAAAAGTTTTTGTATATATATATATATATAGTTAAGTACCTATTGGAGATATATTTGAGTGTAAGGTAAATTAGTAACTTCGTGGTGTCTCACTCCACGCCAGAGTGGGTCGTGGTATTCGCCTACGAGGAC